GGCCCCGGTGACATCGGGCCCATTTCTGGATTCGGGGCGGGGGCGGGGGGTACCACCCGTCTGCTGCTCTGCTGTTTGCGAAGCAGAGTGCCTTTGCCAGCTACAAGAGCATCAGTGTTCTCAGCTGTGGAATGGGCAGCCTCCTCTTCGCCCTCCCGACCCCACACAGGACACGCTGAGCCGAGGGGCCGGCAGCCGCCCAGAGGCACGGGGGGTGAAGGTCTCTCCTGCAGTCGGACCTGCTGACCCCACTGCACTGCTCAGATTCTAACCTCCTCTAGTTGTCAATCCAGGGTTTTTTTTAATGGGCAGCTTCACAGTGAGACTCCGCGTCCTGGCTCCCCTGACCCGCCCAACGTCCCCGAGACCGGGCGGTGCTCCGCGGAGCCTCAGCCGCCACGGGATCGCCGGTGAGCCGTGCCCAAGGCCTGTCCGCTGTCCCCGCTCTCCCGGCTGGAGCCGTTCCCAGGACTGTGATCCGACCCCTTCACCCCGGAAATGGACTGACCCCCCCTCCCTCCCCTGACAGCTCTATAAACCCCAGCACAGCTTTCAGGGCGATGGCCTGGGAGGCCGGGGAGGGCCGGGGGCGGGGAGGGCCGGGGGGGCGGGGAGGGCCGGGGGGGCGGGGAGGGCCGGGGGGGCGGGGAGGGCTGGGGGGGCGGGGAGGGCCTGGGAGGCCGGGGAGGGCCGGGGGGGCGGGGAGGGCTGGGGTCTCCGGAGGCTGGTGGCAGGAGCAGGCCAGGGCTCTGAGCCTCAGCATCCCGGCGCCCAGCGTGTGGTGTAGACAGGGACCCCGCGGGCTCGCCCCTCTCTCTGCGCTCGCTCCCCCCTTTCCTGTCCTCGCTGGCACCAGCGCAGGCTGTGGCGTGGCCTTGGTCCTTCCCTGATGCTGCTTGGTTTCTGAGCCTCGGCCTTCTGGAGTGGATGCGACTTGGGGATCATGGCAGGTGCCTGGCCTTCCAGGTTTGTGATGTCCTTGCTCTCAGAGAATCTTTACTCAAGTAATCCTTATTCTCTGGCTCAATCCATCCGTTAAAAAATCGTGATGTCGCTGTGCAAAGCTACTGTCAGTTATGTGGATGGCTAATAAGTGCTCATGTGTCTGAGCTCTTTCCAAGCCCCAGGAATTGTGCTTAGAATTTGTTAACTATGTTATCACTGATCTTCACACCGGCCCACTGAGGGATGCACCAGTCAGCGACGGCCACAGCGTGCTGTGTAACAAAACTCCCACATTGACTGGCTAACAGCAGACATTCCCATCCACCCCCATAGGTCAGCCGGGGCAGCTAGCGTCCAGCTATAGGTGGGGTGACTTGGCTCCAGCCGGCACGCTGAGTTCAGGTGTACTCCACGTGTGTGCCTTCTGGAGCCTCCTTGGGACATATTCCTGTCACTCTGGGCCCCAAGCACCAAGAGCAGGCCCCACCCCAACATGCTTCCAGCCTCTGACTCAGCCACAAGCTCCTGCATCTCCTTGTCTGAAGCAAGTCACCCATGTCCTCTGAGACCGTGACAAGGACGTGGACCAGTCCTTCCCGCCAGGGGGTCGGTAACTCCACCTACCACGAGGAGGCGCTATGATAAGCCCTGACTGAGACCCAAGGTCACTCAGCTGGGAGGTGTGGGGCGCAGGCTTGACCCGGTGATGTAAGCCCGGAATCACAGCATCCTACAGGCGTGCACATGGGGAAGGGGGGTCAGTCCATTTCCGTCTTTTCTCAGAGTGGCATTTTCCCACCCCTGACTTGCCAATGTCACGTCGGCATCAGCCTCTCTCACACACGTTCGTGTGTCTGTCCATCACCCCTCTTCACACACGCCTGGCGTGGGGTGCTCTCTCCACTCCCCAGAATCACAGGCTCAGGCGCACTTCTTGGGCATTTTTTGAAATGAACATTGAGGGGGGACTCCCCCCCCCCCCCTTTAATCTCGGGCGCGTGTATAAAACACCTTGGCAGCCGAAACCGGTTTGGCTCAGTGGATAGAGCGTCGGCCTTCGGACTCAAGGGTCCTGGGTTTGATTCCGGTCAAGGGCATTTGCCTTGGTTGCGGGCACATCCCCAGTGGGGGGTGTGCAAGAGGCGGCTGATCCATGTTTCTCTCTCATCGATGTTTCTAACTCTCCATCCCTCTCCCTTCCTCTCTGTAAAAAAAAATCCAATAAAATATATACTTAAAAAAAATACCTTGGCAAAGTCCTTGGTGGAATTTGTATCAAAGCGGCTCCGTGATTTCACTCAGAAACAATCTGCTCCACGTCAGACGCCGTTCCTGACCCCGGAGTGTGACCGTGGCCCGGGTCCCCGTGCCGCCTCCGTGAGGAGCGGTGGGCGCTCGGGGAGGGAGGAAAGACGGGGGCTGGCGGGTGGGCGGGCGGTCTGAGCGGTGGGGAGTCTGTTCCACACGCCCCCACAGAAGGGATTTCCCCTCCATGTTTCCATAGAGCCCTCCCTGTGTGTGCTTAAACCGGTCTGTCCCACACGCCGCCTGACAGCTGCCTGGCCCCGGGCCTTCCCGCAGACACACGGACAACCGGCCCTTTTCACGGCGCCCGCCCGCGTCCCCGAGCAATTACGCCGGCACATAACCGCCCTGAAAGGCGGGCTGTGCTCAGAGCTAATAAACAAGCCGGGTAAGACCCTGAGAAATGGCATCACCATCCACGGGGAGTTATGAGCCCTGCAGAGAAGCAGCCCATTGTACTTCCAGAAAAAGAGTGTTGTTTGAAAAAATAATAACGACGATGAATAAAAATCACCCGGCGTCTGTCTGTGGAAAAAGCAATGGGGTCTGGGAGCCGGGAAGCTCTCTGTGGGTTTTATGTGAGAGGCATTATTTGCAGAAACACAAGAGTCCGTTCTGAAGAATTCCCCTGGCTCCCCATCCTCCCAGGTGGGGATCCCGAGTGTGACTGCATGAGCGGCTGGGACACTGGTCCAGGCAGGCTGCCCTCTGTGGGGGCTGAGATCCAGCCTCAGCACTAAGGATCATGTTTTTTGAGAAAAAGAGAGGAAGAGAGGAGGGTAGGACACTGTCTGGAGGCGCCCCCTAGCGGTGTGCAGGCTCCACGCCCAGAAGGCGCGCTGGGCCCCACTCCGGGTGGCTGTGGGGAGGGCTCTGGACCCAGGTCACCGGGATGGGGCCACGGGGTCGTGGCCAGCACAGGGCTGCGCCTGGAGACAGTCCTCCGGGGTTCAGTCTGTTCTCTAACGGGGGTTGGGCGTCCTCAGACAGGACCGGGGGCCAGGGCGGCGGCCAGGTGGTGTCCCGGCGGCCCGGGCTTCTGCGGGGGCGGCGCTCGGTCCGGCCTCCCCTCCCCTCCGGGGGCAGCCCGGGCGCTGGGCCCGGAGCCGGAGGCCCGGGATGCGACCCGCCCGGCCTGACCGCCCGGTGCGCGGGGCGGGCTCCCCGCGGCGCCGTTAGAAACGCCTGGGGGGGGGGGTCTCGGCTTTTTTTCTGTTTGAACCCGCGCCGCGCCCCGTGTTTACGGGGGGGGGGCAGCCCGGCCGCGGGTCCGGCCCCGGGGTGGGGGGGGGGAGGCCCCGGGCCCGGCCCCCCGCACCCCCTCCCGCTCCCCACTTCCCCCCGCGCCGGGCGGGCGGGGCGCCCCCGCGGAGCCGGCGGAGGAGCCGCGGAGGCCCCCGCGCCGCCGGCGCCGGCCCCGCAGGTACACGGGGGGCGGCGGGGAGGCCGGCGGCGGGCGTCTGGCTCCGGCTCCCGCCCCGCAGTGCCCGGCCGGGCGGGCAGGGAGTCCCGGCGGCCGCGCCGCCTCCATCCCCGCGGCGCCCGGCGGCGGCGGCCCCGCAGACAATGAACTTGCGGGCGCCGCGCCCAGGCCGGGCCGGTGCTGCCCGCGGCCCGGGCTCCACGGGGCTCGCGGTCCCGCAAGGCCGCCCGCCGCGGTCCTGGGGGGACGGCAGCCCGCGCCCGGGCCCGCGGGGCGGCTGGCGGCGGCTGCGCAGGCCCGCGCCCTCCCCCGCGGAGCGGATGCGGCCGGGGCTGGGGACCGGGGCTGGGGACCGGGGCTGGGGGACCGGGGCTGGGAGGGGAGGGGGACCGGGGCCGGGGACCGGGGCTGGGGAGGGGGACCGGGGCTGGGGAGGGGGACCGGGGCTGGGGAGGGGGACCGGGGCCGGGGGACCGGGGCTGGGGAGGGGGACCGGGGCGGACGACGGTGGGCTGGGGAGGGGGGACTGTGGGACTGTGGCTCTTGGGGAGGGGGACCGGGGCTGGGGGACCGGGGCCGGGGACCGGGGCTGGGAGAAGGGGGACCGGGGGCCGGGGGACCGGGGCTGGGGGAGGGGCAGGGACCGGGGCTGGGGAGGGACGGGACCGGGGGACGTGGGAGAGGGACCGGGGCTGGGGACGGGGCTGGGGACGGGGGACCGGGGCTGGGGGACCGGGGCCGGGGGAACCGGGGGCTGGGGGAGGGGGACCGGGGCCGGGGGACCGGGGCTGGGGGACCGGGGCTGGGGGACCGGGGCTGGGGAGGGGGACCAGGGCCCGGGGGGCCGAGGGCTGGGGACCGGGGTCCGGGTGGTGGCGCTGCGGGCAGCCCCAGGCCTGCGGGGGGCGCACGCGGCGGGGCGAGCCCATAAAAACCCGGCCCCAGGATAGCGGCCCCGCTCGGGCGGCTGGGGCGGAAGACGGAGGACACGGTCGGTGCCTCCCGGTGAGCGCGGGGCGGGTCCCGGCCGGCGCTCCGCTCCGCTCCGCCGCGCACTTGGGGGCAGTTCCGGGCGCCGGCGGGGCGGGGGGCCCGGCTCCGGGTCCGGCGGCTCCGGGGAGGGGGCGTGTGATGGGGGCGGGCCCGGGAGGGGCGGGGCGGCCGGCCGGGCGGCCTCAGCTTTCGCTCTCGGCCCGCCCCTCCGCCCCTCCCTCCGCCCCTCCCTCCGCCTCCTCCCGCCTCCTCCCGCCTCCTCCCGCCTCCTCCCGCCTCCTCCCGGCCCCGCGCGGCCAGAGGCTCCGGAGTTGCAGGCGCTCCCGGCGGCGGCTCGGGGTCGCGGATCAGAGCGGCAGGTCAGAGCGGGTTGGGGGCGGCGGGCCGCGGGCCGGGGTTTGGGGGGCGGCGGGCCGCGGTGAGCCAGGCGGCGGCGCCCCAGCGCAGGGGGATGGAGCGCGAGCTCCCGGGCTGCGCGGGCGGAGGACGGGGGCCGGGAGGACGGGGGCCGGGAGGACGGGGGCCGGGAGGACGGGGGCCGGGAGGACGGGTCGGGGGGAAGGATGGGGGGAAGGATGGGGGGGTGGGAGGGGAGACAGGGTTGTTGGGGGTCCTTGGCGCCGGGAGCCCCCGGCATGCGGGATGGGCGCCCCCCGGAGCCTGGCGCGGGGGTGAGTGAGGAGCTCCGGGCTGGGTCGGACCGGCCGCCGGGCACGCGGGTGCGTGTCGGGGTCCGGAGCCGCGGGTGTGGGCGCTGCCCGCGGTCCTCGCCGCCCTGGGGGCCCGGGGGCCCGCGGCCGGAGCCGGTGCCGGAGGCGCACGATGGGCCGGGCTGCGGCCGCGGGGGAGGCGGAGGCCCTGAGCCCGCTCCTGGGCTCCCGCATCCCGGCCGGTCCCGGGCTGGGTTCACGGTGGGTGTCAATGGCCCGGAGTTCCCCGGATGAGGTTGGATCTCGGGGCGCTGCGCAGGGACCTGCGTCTGCAGAGGCTAAGCAGAGGGGCTCCCTCTGGGCCCCCCAACCCCAACCCCAACCCCATTGCACAGCCGGGGGCCTCCCTCCCGGGGACACCTGATTGTCAGTTCACGGTGTCCGGCGGTTTGGGTAAGAGGGAATCGGAATAAACACGCTTTCTGCTCTAAGCCCATTTTACCGAGTAAGTTTTTCTGATCGTCCGGAACCAGTGGCAGGGCAGTGTTCTCTTTTCATTTTATTTTAAATGCATTTTTTATTGGTTTCAGAGAGGAAGGGAGAGGGAATCACTGATGGGCTGCCTCCTGCACGCCCCCTGCTGGGGATCCAGCTGCCACCCCGGGAATGTGCCCTTGACCAGGAATCAAACCACCGGTTCACAGGTCAGTGCTCAACCACTGAGCCACCCGGCGGGCAAGCCCCAGGTCTTTCCTTTGAACCTGCACTGCCAGCCGCTGTGGGCTGGTGTGGTGTGTGGTGAGACCCGGGCCCTGCAGGGGGCCCCAGGGGGACGGGAGTGGAGGCCGGGCTGCCCTGATGGGAGGCCTGGGACCCCGCCGAGAAGGCAGCAGCGTGGACTCGGCTCCAGCCGCGGGGGAGGAAACGGACGGACAGGCCTTGTTAATCTTCCAGAGAATTCTCAGGCCTGGAGGAAGCGTGGGCTCAGACTCTGGAAGCGGAGCAGGGGGGGGGTCCTGCCCGGAGGCCGGTGTGTGTTTACTGGGGAGAGCACCCCACGTCACCCATGTCAGAGATGTGGCGGGTGACCCCCCCCCCCTCACCCCGGCAGAGGGCTGGGAACTGCCCTGCCTGAGGCCTCGGCCAGGCTCCCCTGCCCGCCCGCCTGGGGGTCAGCCACGCGATGGCTCTGGGCTGAGCCCCCTGTGGAGAGGCCCCTCACTGACCACACGACCCCTTGGCCGATCCCGGCGCTGGCCCCGGAGAGGCGGCCTGGCCCCGCGCTCTGGAGGGAGCCGGAGAGCCGTGCCAGGCCCTCCGGGGAACGGCGCCGCCGAGCTGGGGACAGGAGGGCGGGGACAGCCGGAGAGGCCTGGGTCATGGGGCCTCGTCGCCTGAACCAGTGTTCCCCAAACGTCTGACATATGATATAATTTTCGTAACGCTGAGCGCCCCTCGTACTCATGAGAACGTAGAATTAGGCGCAGCTAAGCACGGTGCAGGGCATATCCCACCAAACTCCGGTGCAACGCGTACCCCCACCAGACTCTTCCCGTGCCCCTGCGGGTACGCGTACCACACATAGTGCTGGGTGAGGAGCCCAGGCCTCGCACCCCGGGCACCTGGGCCTGCTCCGCACCCCGCCGGGCAGGGCCGGGCGGGGCCTCGGGGCTCCCCCGCCTCCTTCCTGGGTCTCAGCAGGCCAGGTCTCACAGGCGCCCCTGGAGGAGCCCTTCCGCGGGAGAGGGTCCCCTTGGACCCCTCGCCGGAGGAGGTGCTGGCATCGGGGTGTCAGTGAAGAGCAGCCGTGGCGGGCACCCGTTAGCAGCGTGGGCGTTGGAGGGAGGGCGCTCAGTCACTGGTGCCCCGCTCCGTCCTCCCGTCCGGTCTGGGGTCCGATGTCAGAGGGGACCCTGACCTCCTCCTCTCGGCGGGTCCGCTCCGGCCGGCCTGGGCGGCGTGTGGGGGGGAAGCGGGGGGCCAGTGGGGAAGGGGCGTTTCCCGCACACAGTGCGTTCCTCGCTGTCCTCCGAGCCGGGCTTCCTTCCACACGCTCCCCCCGGACGTAAAGCCCGACAGGGTGAGATGCATGACGCGGAGGCTGTGGTGGCCGTTCCCGGTCAGTGCGCTGCCCAGTGCACCGCCCAGTGCCGGGAGGAGGAGCCGAGGTGTGGGGTGAACGGGGGCCCACAGGTGTTTGTAAGCTGGGGAGTCCTGAGGAAGACCGTTGACCACAGCAGCTGTGGCTGTGGGTTCCGCTGGTGCCCAGCCGCCTGTGCCAGGCAGGTCACGGTGCCCGGGCCTCGGTCGGAGGGCGGGGGCCCAGCCCGGAGCCCGGAGGCAGGGATGGCGGGCAGAGGGAGAGGGAGGAGGCGTGGAGCGGGCGGGCTGAGACTGACAATCACGGCTTCGGGGGAGGCGGGCGTGCAGCGAGGAGGTGGGGGTGGCGGCAGTGGCAGGCGGTTCCCGGTTCACGCCGGTTGCGAAAGGGCCCGGGAGGAAATCGGCGTGTCTTGCGTCACCAGCAGCGGCGGCGGCTCTGCCTGAGGCTGTCCCCCCGGCAGCCGGCCAGCCGGCCAGGTGTGTGTGGGCAGCACCCTGGGGGGGCGGCACGCAGCAGTGGGAGTGTTACTTAATGCTGCTGAGGGCGGCTCGGCCCGGAGGAGCCCACCCGCACCCGGCCCGGAGCGGCCTGAGCACACGCCAGCTCCTGCCGCACTCAGGGCTGTGGTTCCCGGGATGCTCAGCACCGGGGCCGGGGGGTCTCTGCGCCCGGACATGCATGTGCAGTTTTCACGGATGCTCATTGGGTGGGTGGGATGCATGACGTCTGTGTGTTCTCCCTCATGGCTGCTCGGACTCCGACAGGCCGGACCCGCAGCACCTGGTCCTGGCCCGCTGTCCGCTGTCCACTGGCTGTTTCACTCGCTGGGCTGTTTGTCCGTCTGTGCAGAGGGCGGGCACACGCGGTGCTCGAGGCCCTTGGCCGGCACTGCGGTGGGCTGGGGTCAGGCTGGATCTAGCTGGGAGTCAGGATGGGGTCAGACGGGGTCTGGCTGGGGTCTGCCTGGGGTCAGCCTGGGGTCTCCCTTTGGTCTGCCTGGGGTCAGGCTGGGTCAGGCTGGGGTTTGGCTGTGGTCTGGCTGGGGTCAGGCTGGGTCAGACTGAGGTTTGGCTGGGGTCTGGCTGGGGTCAGCCTGGGGTTTGGCTGGGGTCAGGCTGGGTCAGGCGGGTCAGCCTGGGGTCAGCCTGGGTCTGCCGGGGTCTGGCCGGCTGCGTTCCCGCGATGGGCTCAGGCGGAGGGCAGTGGCTGTTCCCGGTGTGCGGTGGCTGTGGAAGGTCACCGGAGCTGGGCAGGCCGTGCATGACGCCTGCGTTAGGTTTCCAGAACATACCCCGTCCAGGCCCGGGTGCTTGCTCGCTTGCTGGGAAGGAGGCGGCCTCTGACCCTCAGAAGCAGAGGTGTCCAGTGGGACCGTGGCCACTGTCCAGAGTGTTTGTGATGAAGATACGGAACCACAGCCCGGACCCTGCGCCTGCACACGCCCCTTGGGGAGTCCCCGTGCAGCCGGCGGCACCGTGCTCCCTGCGCGGGACGGGGCTCATGGCTTCTCTGCCCGGAAGGGGCGCCTGCAGCCCACTGCTCCCTGTGGCCTCAGAGGGGAGGGCCATGCGGGGGGCAGCCCCCCTCAGGCCACCCGGGGCTCTGGGCAGCTGCCAGGAGGCTGGGCCCTGCGTTTGGGGTCTGAGAGGTCTCACCCCTCGTCGCTGGGGCTGGGGGCCTGGAAGCTGGCTTCCCGCGGCCGGGTGTGCGGCCGGGCTGAGGGCCCCGCTGGACCGCCTGTGCCCTGTCCTGTGCCCTCAGCGGACATCCCGTCCCCGGAGGAGGCGTGGCCGGCTGAGTGGCGTGTCCTCCGGAGGCCGGCTTCCTGAGCGCCAGGGGCTCTTGAACTCCATCGTTGGCCTGACCCGGTGACGGGGCCCTGCTGGCTTTCAGCGTGCTAACGAGACACCGTGTTCCCGGAGCCACAGCCTGTGCCAGGGGCTGCTCCGCGCCCGGGGGCTGCTCTGCGCCAGGGGTTGTTCCAGGCCAGGGGGCTGCTCCAGGCCAGGGGGCTGCTCCGGGCCAGGGGGCTGCTCCGGGCCAGGGGGCTGCTCCGGGCCAGGGGGCTGCTCCGAGCCCGGGGGCTGCTCCGGGCCAGGGGGCTGCTCCAGGCCAGGGGGCTGCTCCGAGCCCGAGGGCTGCTCCGGGCCAGGGGGGCTGCTCCGGGCCAGGGGGCTGCTCTGACCCAGGGGGCTGCTCCGGGCCAGGGGGCTGCTCCGGGCCAGGGGCTCCTCTGTGCCAGGGGCTGCTCCGCGCCAGGGGCTGCTCCAGGCCAGGGGGCTGCTCCGCGCCAGGGGCTCCTCTGTGCCAGGGGCTGCTCCGCGCCAGGGGGCTGCTCTGACCCAGGGGACTCCGGCGGGGACGGAGCTGTGGAAAGCTGCCGTGGGAACGGGGAGCCGTGAGCAGGCGGCGGACGGGCCTGAAAGCTCCCGGCCCCTGAGTGGCTCCAGGGAAGCCGGGAAGGCGGCCTGGGAGCCCAGCGGGGGCCTCCCCAGACCCCTGCGAGCGCTGCCGGTGCCAGTCCTGGCCTTCGAAGGGGCATGGTCTGCCTCGGGGGGTAAACTGAGGCGGTAAAAGGAGAGGCGGCCTCGGCTGCCATTTGGTG